TAAAACACAGTGTGTGCTAACCCTTACGTTACAAAAGACTTTGTTTTTTTTTTAGTTTTCTCATATAACTCGAGTTACAGAATAGACAGTAATATAAGAGCACCAGACACATTAGCTAGGATTAAAAATGTACCAGACAATAATAAGTCTTGAGGTGTCGAAACGGCGGGGATTAGAATGGTCGCCTAAAACAATGTTGGGCCATGAAAAAAGATCATCCTTAACGCCCAATCACACTGCCTAGAAATTAAAGCGGAATAAAAATGAAACAAAATACTATCGAGTAAGCGAATTATTGTTTAGCATGACAAATGAAGGTTTAATTTCGCTTTTGTTTCGCGACAAGTTCCATCTATTTTGACAGAATTCTAAACGTCACTGTACATGTGTCTTACAATAAATTGAAATAAGATGTATTCATTCTACTATACTGAGGATTTATCGCGGATTTTCATGGAATCGTTTTTGTTTTGTCATCGACAATATTTGTATTAACTACATTTGTGCAACGCCCCTACCATCCGTAAACTAACTTTGTCCTAATTCGTGATAGACTTGCTGTTTATTGTAACGATTGGATTGCGGAGCGGAATTCCAATTTTAATTCCGTTCCGCTTTTATACGTCAGTGTGTTAGGGGCCTAAGCGTTTTAAAGTTAATCTTTGACGGGAGTAACAGAGGCGCGTGTTATTTTTGTATCGCCGACGCGCCACCGATAGGGCTTGATCGATGCCTTTTAAAATGAACACCAGATTGAATAATTTATTGGGACCTGCTTCAGTTTTTTATTGGACAACGTTTAATCCGTCGATTGACGTTTATCGCAGCGTTTAGAAATTCATTTAACAGATAATAGCTGTCTGTGAGACAATATAAATAATTGTTAAGTCTTAAATCAAAAAGCTACCAGTTTATTGTAAAGTTTAGTGAGAGGTCAAAGATTAGATAATTCCAGATATGTCAGAATACATTTATTTATTTATATTTAATCGAGAAACTAGATATAACTTAATACCAGTAAATGTAAATTATTTTACACAAGCTTTCGCCCGTGATTCCGTCCGCGTCGAATTAAATAAACAAAAGAGAGTAGCTTATTTGTTCTTCCAGACTATACTCTACATCTGCACCAAAATTTTATCGAAATCCATTCAGCCGTTTAAGCTACAAACTCTAACAAACATCCATCCATCTAAACTTTCGCATTTATAACATTAAGGATGATATGACTATTACGATTATAATATTAGGAAAGTTCGAAAAGAGTTGGCACTTTTATTACATTAGTTAATTTAATAAAAAAATATTGTTAATCACAACATTGAGTTAGAAAGAAAATGTGCATAGAATGATACATTATATAGGTACATAAAGTAGGTTTTAATTAAGATAACATAAGTTGCATGATGCCATATGTATCTGTATTATTAACACTACAAAGAAATTCTTAAAAAATCATGTAAATAAGTTGATAAACCAATTAGAAATAAGTACATAACAAAGAGTAACACTACGTTTTAATATCCACCGCTATTGATCAAATTACAGACATAAAAGACAATGTATAAAAATGTTTAAATAACATAAAATGTACTTGAAGGTCACATTTACTCGTTACCATCCACTGATAAGCTATCAGTGTGATATCAATTCGTGTTTATTACGCACATACGGCACAAATGTAATCGTTGTAAATATATCAATCAATGATAATATGAAACAAATCAAAAGATATCACTCCCCATATCTGTAAGCACTTCAACATATTGATTTATAAATTTAATACTTATTGATAAATATGTGACATTTTATTGTTTAAAATTAATCTTTAAAATTCGAAACATACGAAACATTCGAACTAGGTTTCTAACCTTACTAGTCAATCATATGTCCTTAGATACCCTTACAGGCGTTTCTTCTATACTAATATTATTAACAGGAGAGATAAGTATTTTTGTATATATTGTAATAACTCAAAAACTACTAAGCCGGTTTGAAAAATTCTTTCACCATTATAAAAATTGAGAAGCAAAAGGTTAGCGTTGTACGGACATGTTATGCGACGAGACGATAGGGACATAAAGTAGAAAGTGTTAAGAATGAACGTGGATGGCTACAAAGGAAGAGGAAAACCGAAGAAAGTATGGATGGATTGTGTGAAAGAGGATATGCTTAAGAAAGGAATGGTTTCAGACATGACGGCTGATAGAGATGTATGGAAGAGCAGCACATACTGTGCCGACCCCCCCATAAGGGATAAGGGCAAGTTGATGATGATTTCACACTAATAAATATAGTTTATATGTGAGTAATATAGACTTTTTTTACATTAATGTTAACTATGGATAAGACACAAAATCTAAACCTATAATGCCACCCAGTTAATCCTGGTGCGGATTGTTAATGCTACATAAACATTTTAACAATTAAAAAAAGGGAAAGAATGTTACCCTTCGTAACGTTTTAATTAATAATTTCACAGGTAATTAGATCGGTTAAACTTTTAATTAATAATTCCTAAGTAATTGGCATTACCTAATACGGAAAGAGGACTTAAGCGGCAAACCGATTCTATGTTTTATAATTGCACTCCAATAGACAGGGGAAGGGAAACAAATTATTCTTCTACAGTCCTGTCTTTAAAAAATGCATCAAGTTATTTACTTACAATAGCTTGAAATAAATAACTTTTTTGAATACTTCCTCCGTTTTTAAATATTAAAACATTAAACTGAAATAAATTAAAAGAGAACTCAACTTTAACATATTAAAATAAATATAAGAATGAGTTAAGTTAAGTTAAGTTCAGAAAATACTGATTATTATGTAATAAAAATTATAGTAGTACAAATAACAATTGTAATTATAAATAAGTTGCATATTAAAATATCAGAAAAGTTCTAAATTATATAATACATTTATCTAAATTTCTTAGAAACAATCCGTAGATTATAAATTCTCCGGCAGGTGCTCATAATATCAACCATCGACTCCATAGAGCTCGGCAACAACGATGCAAAATTTTATTTCAATACAACGTCAATAAGTTAAAACAGACATGTCTACAAGGCCACATTTACATTGTCGATGTTAGTGAACTCGATCCGTGAGCTGCTTTAACATTAATCCGATATTATTTGATTTATTAAAATCGTCAGGACAGGATACGGCAAACATATATAAAATCAGCGGAAACCATTTACATAGACGCACACACGCTTATCCTTATCGACGGCTAATCGATGGCCAGCGTTCGCGCATCTTTGCCGCATTCAAATTTCGAACGCGAACTGTCATGGCGGCCAATCGTAACGGCCCAAATTTTGAGCGGTAAAATTCGATTGCAGTGTGTCTCTATTTTTTTAAAGACGATGAAAGGGATGCAAATATGAACTTATACAAGTCGAAACCCATAGTCATACTAAAAACAGAAGCCTCTCGACTTTGACATTGATTTGTTGATCTCGCAAGTTCTTATTCGTAACAAGTTAGAATTCTTAAAAGTAAATACGAGACACATTGCCAGTACGAATACCTTTTGCATATCTAGTTTTATTTGTATAACGTTTCTGAAAAAGTATGTAGTAGGAACTAACGCTTCTGATAATTTTTAGTTTATAAATTATGTAATTTTTTCGCAAAATTTATATAGGCAAAAGTATATTTAATACCACTTTTTTTTCTAACTCACAATTCTATAATATTTTTATAAGTAATTCTTAATATTGAAAAGAATTACAGATTAAACACATATGATATTATCTTTATATTTTTCAAATTTTAAATAAATGTAGGTAAATATTAATGTATCCATATCCTTATTTGATTTAGTAAATAGTTTATATTTGGTATATTTTAGTTAAACTACGGTTGAGAAGTTTTGTATTCAATTCCCACTGTCGTTTTACTATAATATTGTAAGGCTTAAATACCAAAAAAACTGTATTTATTTTAAAAATATGGCACGGAAGTGAGTTGATTATAATTTGGTCATAAAAACCGGTATAAAAAGGTAACCAGAGACCTAAGTTTTTAGAAAATTAATAAACTCTTTTATATATTCAAAACAAATATCAATCCATACATTATCAAGTCAAATATTTTGTCTGTTAAACACGTTTATGTCTTTTATATAGAGTATTCAATGAGGAGAGGAAAATATAATTTACTAGCATTCGTCCGCGACTCCGTCCACTTGTAATTTAAAAAAAAAACAAAAGTAAGTAGCCTATGTGTTCTTCCAGACTATCCTCTACATCTATACCAAATTCCGTTCCGTTCAGCCCAGTCTACAAACTCTAACAAACATCCATTCATCCATCTAAACTTTCGCATTTATCATATTAGTATGATTAAAAAGTTATCTTTATAGGTTAACGAATACCTTTAAATATACATCAAAAAATATCTTTTTATTTCAAACCTTTTACAGTATAATTGCAACAATTTTAATTCATGTTTCAAAAACAATTTTCATTATTGTACATTAAAACGCCAATTCCTTCATGAGAATTATTTTAATAGAAAAAAGGAAGTTGTATTGATTAATTAAAACGATTTTTATTTAAGAATATTTGTTATAATTACTTATAAGAAAATTTGATCTTCCTATAGCTTGTTGGTTACCGTCGGACGTGCAATATTACGACTTGGTCATCATTATTTCTTAATTAAAAACAGATAATGTTAAACATACTTTAAATATAATGTTACCATAATTAACATAAGTCTCCTTTTTAATTTATCAAAGTCTATAAAAATGAGCGTCAACACTTGAATATTTTAAAGAAATTAGCAAAATTTAACGCACTGTAGTTATGTTTTAGTGAATTATTTAATATTTTTTTTGATTTTACTAAAACTAGACTTACTGATACTATAAATAGGTTGTATTCTGCTGAATATCTTAGGAAATTAGTTACTTATATATGAAAATTTAAATTATTTGATTAATATTACAGTAGCTTCAAGTTATGTATCCAAGATAAGATTTTTTTTACCTTTAATGTCCGCGACCGGTACTTATCACTTAGATGTCGATCACTGTCACTTATCACTGTAAACGTAGAGATATATGAACACACTGTAATTGTACGCTCCATTCCGTTCGCGGGTCCATTTTCTCAGATTGTTTGGTGCGAAAATTTGTAAAACCACAAGTCACTGGACGTGTTCGTAAAGTATAAGCGTGTGCAACGGTCAGATGGGAACGGGATAACAATGTTTTGTTTGAGATTATTGTAAATGTGAGTGCGCAGGCGCGGCGAGCCTTGCGGTGCTATCGCGGCACGGGAAGCGGCCTCTTTGGGACGCGACCCGACACTAAACTAGTCGTGTGACGTTTTTGTTGTGAGCGCTCGCTCGGGCGGGTTCGGGCACGCTCGGCGCGGGGCTTCGCAGCCACCGGCCTCCTATTGGCTGGTTTGTTGGCGGGCGGCGGAAAGGGCGGTGCTGTTGCGAACGATGGGAGTGTTCTCTTTTTAAAATTTTCTTTTTCTCTTTTTGGGCGGGTGTCGTACGGTGGTGTGCGTCAGTCTCGCGCGCGCCGCGGCTGATGGATGGCGGCGCGGTGAGGCAGCGGTAGACGTTAACAATGGAAGCATTTTTGTATTTCGTTATGGATGTCCGTCGATGCTAGATCCATTCTGTTATGATTGTAAATATCAATTGCTCATGTATGCTTCGGACGGATGACAATAAAAAAACATTTAATGGACAGCATGTATCATAGAGCTTTGTAAATATACTCGATGGGAACCTTTTAAGATAGTATGAATAAACTTTCTTAATAAATACTTATTGTGGGTCATATTTTGCAATTGAAAGTTTTAATAAAAAGTCTTTTTTATTTCGTATATTATTCGATACGATTGAATATCTCAATAAGTAGCAATAAAAGGGTTATTTTATTGGTAATGTAATTTAGCTGATGTTATTACCGTTATACTGCGAAAGGCTTCCATTAAATTAAGTAATGATTGTTTTGGCACTGTAATAATTTTAATACTTTATTAAAATAAAATAAATATATAGTACTATTGAGAGAAACTGGTGATAACAATAAAATTAAATTATTAACAGTAATTAAAACCCCAATTTCAGCTACTAAATTTCCGAATACACTTTAAATTTACTATTATAAGATCAGTTTATAAAAATTCATGAAATTATTATATTAAAGTTTTGTAATAAAGGATACATGGTGTAGATATTAGATTAACTAGGTACCAACATAATCAAAATATTGATTAGTCGTTTACTATTAGTATTTCTATTTACAAAAACTATATCTTCCATCAGATCTAGTTGCATAATTATTTTAAGACAATTTTCAATATTCAGACCAATATTCAAGCAAAGAAAATGGAAAAAAAAACAGGAAAACTATATATGTCACAAATTGAGGTGGTCAAGGGGGAAGAAGTACATTCCAAACCACTGAAATATTTATTACTAGTTTTTGCCCGCGATTACATCCGCGCGGAAAAAAGGAAGTAGCCTATATGTTATTCCAGACTATCCTCTACATTTATATGCCAAATTTCATCGAAATACGTTTAGCCGTTAAGACTACAAACTCTAACAAACATCCATCCATCCATCTAAACTTTCGCATTTATAATATTAGTATGACTACTTAGTAAAAAGATGGAGATAAAACTTAGGTATGATTTTAACAAGATAAAAACTTTGTTTGACTTGAAACAGTTTAGTAACTTATCACACTTTACACTATTATAGTTTGGATGAATGGATGTATATTTATTACCACATATCTCCAAAACGGCTTAACAAATCTTGATCAAACTTGGAACAGATGTAGAACATAGTCTGGAAGAATACATAGTCTACTTACAATATATCTACACCTATATATGTATATCTATACTAATATAATAAAGCGTAAACACACACTACTTTGTGGCGTAAGATGTCAGCAATCACAGCATATTTTTGAATAACTCTTTCTTTAATAACAAGCCCTACAATCACGTCACGATTTAGGTTTTACATTTTCACGCTATTAAACTTACTTATGTACCATAAAGTGGTTAAAAGCCTTAATGTGGGAAAGTGACCATAAACTACAAGCTTCCAACATCATGGAAGTAAGATTGACATTGTTTGTCATCATGTCATGTCATTTTGACATTTGCAATTGATAATTTGACAAATGTAAACAATATAATGAAATATTCGAAATTTCATGCGGATGAAGCCGCACGGGAACATCTAGTTTTTTAATAAGCGCGGACACAAGTTAGTTTATTAAAACATCTACATCAATATCTTAAGCGTGAAATTGCACTAACTTATGTTAAAATATAAGCACCCAATATTGTCTCTTGTTTTAAAAAGAATGAAAGGTATATGTTTATAAACAAGTCTTTCAACAATGGAAACCCGTGATGTCATGATATCTACATGATTACTTTAAAAAAATCTAGTTTAGATTAATATTAGTAAAATATAGACATCAATTGAGTTAATAAGTTTATTCTATAGCGGTATATAAATAAATATTTATCAAACAAAATTTGCATTTTACAAATTAGGGTAATAGGTCTGTATTCGAAGAGAATTAACTACATTTATAATGACGGACTGTATGCCGATTTAATAATTAACAATTTTAGAATAATTTTGTCGTTTAAAGTTTCAAATTAATATTTAAAAACAATTAATTTATCTATTTATTATAGTCTTACAACACGCATACAATAAATTACAAAAATGTTTAAAAAAAACTATAGTGAGAATTATGTGAATATTAATAATAAATAATAATAATAATAAATTCATTTATTTAACAATTTAACATTGAACTAGTTATTTTAACAATACGTCTAAAAATACTCTTATATTTATCTTTGATATATCTGAAGATAGGCGTGGAAGCATATTCCTAAATACACTACGTGGCATATAGTTACAATGTTAATTCAAATATATTTATTCTGTATGAACCGTGTACAATACAGGCTTCATACAATACTCAACATATAGAACAGGACAGTAAATATACAAGCGTTAGGAGAATAAGTAAATAAGTATTTCCCGGTCCCCACGACACCCACACGTTTTCTAAGCGGGCAGCCAGTCTGAATAACATTTAACCCCTTTGAAATGTAAAAGCATTACGGAATGAAAAAACAGCACTTATGTACCCCGCGACGCAGATAAACCATCTCCCGTACAAAGCGCACAAAGATACAATACCTCTGAAAGGGTTCAAGAACGCACTTTTAAATTAACAACGGAAAACTCTACAACGACTTATGTCACCTACGAAACGCAAACCAAACTCGACCTTGTCGTACTACCGCTATGAATTATGACAAATCAATATTCCTTGAAATCGTGGCGAGATTTAAAATGTCTGATGTAGCGATACTCCTATTTAAAATAGGGCCGTTTACATTTTTCCTTTTCGTGTCATTGTCTCTGCTCGGGAGCGCTTGCGACCGTCACGTTCCAATTTTGAAAAGTGTCGGAACAAAATGGTAGACGCTTTGTGTTGCGCCCTCGCCTCGCTCCTGATTGTGACTGCCTCGAGTTTGGTAATTTAGCAGATGCCTGTTCGCTTTGATATTCCGACGGCAAAGTCCACGTTGAATTATTATTACCTCTGTGAAAATAGAAAAGAAAAGCGCGCAACCATCGGTCCGCTCGGAACATGATTCGTAATTATTCATACCGCATACCGATGTCAAAAATATCATTCCGGCTACGAGTGAAGTCATAGATACAACCTTCCATCGGCGAAGCCGGTAACCCAATTGGAACATCACGGTGCCGTGTTTACAACTCAACAAAAAAAAGCTAATAACAAAGGAGCCGAATTTAAATTCCAATCGAACTTTGACACATGTCTGCCACCATAAACAATGGAAATTCAAATCATCGTCGTTCGACAGCCGCCGACCTAATGCGATTGTGGCGTGCGCTCCGTACTCTATGGCTCTTCATCTATAAATAGGAGTCTTTTCTTTCGCTTTTTCTTCACAAAATCTGAGTCGAGATGGTGCGATAAGCTATCTCGTGTTAGATGGTCTCAATATCCCCAGATGGCCTTGCTCTCGAGTAATCTCTCGCTGCGGTTATTTTTGTCAGTTTTTGCCGTGTCTCCTTTGAGTCGTCGCTTTGTAGTCTAATAAGGACATTATTTTGACGTGGATCACGGCGTCGTCATAATGTAAACACTGATTGAGTACAGATAAGTAAAACAATCGGCGTGACATGAATGTGATTTTTTGTGATGCGATTCCTACAGAATTCAAGCATCGGAATCGAAATTCGAAATACGTACTTGCAGCTGCTTCACTGAGCCACTAAAAAAAACTTAAACAAAGGGATCACCTTAATTATTGTTACTTTACCACATGTTACTAATATAATAAATGCAAATATTTAAATGGAAGGATGTTTGTTAGAGTTTGCCGCCTAAACGGTTGGACAGATTTCTATAAAATTTGATTTAAATGTAGAGCGTAAGCTGGAAGAACACATAGGGTGCTGTTGTTTTTTTTTTTATTCCAAGCGAACGGAGTCGCAGGCGAAAGCTATTAGCTTAGAATTTCTACTGTTTAAGAAAAATGAGTAGAGTAATATTAAAGTCAACTAAAATTAAGTAACAACTCGTTGTTGCTACTAATTGATGTCGAGTTATTCGGCAGGTGGTTAAACCAAGGCCGTATTTATAGATGTACATTTTAATGGTGGGGTTCAATGTTAAACAGATTCGATTGAACGCCGTAGCCTTAAAACATTACGTTGGTTTTAAAAAGAACATGTTCACGTAATAAAATTAAATAATAAAATAACTAATAATATTGTTCCGGTAACGGTGAAAATACTCAATAAAACTCTGACATTTCTTATATAAAAGACGATATTTTTCCGCTAAAAACATCATAATTTTTATAAGGTTTAAAAGGGTTTTATGATTTTAATGCTTAAATGATTATGGCCGAGTTAACTTCGTTTACTTTGTATATGGTCTTAATGCGATTCCACGATAATATGACGAGGCCAAGACGACCAATTTCGGAGTCTTCTGCCAGTACCATATTATTTTATGTTCATTTGATTAATTATATTATTTACCTGATAGCGGTATCATAAATATTTACGTTAAGTTTTAAAATATTAACTTTCTTTCAACAACGTTCACTTTAGTGTAAATACGTGAATTTAAAAATCAATCCAGTTAAGGGGTTTATTTATTTTTTTACTACACCATTAACGTTTTTTTGTTTGTAAGATAATCTAAAATCATTGTAAGATAATGAAATTGGTTAAATAAGATTATAAAAGTTCCATAAATT